CACCGGGAAAAACACCGGGAATCCCGGCTTCATCCGCAGCATCGCCCGCGCCTGCGGGCCCTGCCGGAGCGCGCCCCCGCGCTGGGGAAACACTGGGAAAAACACCGGGAATCAACAGGAAAAACACCGGGAAAAACACCGGGAATCAATGGGAAAAACACCGGGAAAAACACCGGGAATCAATGGGAAAAACACCGGGAAAAACACCGGGAATCAATGGGAAAAATACCGGGAATCAACGGGAAAAACACCGGGAAAAACACCGGGAATCAACGGGAAAAGCAATGAGAAAAATACCGAGAATCAACGGGAAAAACACCGGGAATCAATGGGAAAAACACCGGGAAAACACCGGGAAAAATACCGGGAATCAACGGGAAAAACAATGGGAAAAACACAGGGAATCAACAGGAAAAACACTGGGAATCAACGGGAAAAACAACGGGAAAAACACTGGGAATCAACAGGAAAAACATTGGGAAAACACCGGGAAAAACACTGGGAATCAACAGGAAAAATGCCGGGAATCAATGGGAAAACAATGGGAAAAACACTGGGAATCAACAGGAAAAACACTGGGAAAAACACCGGGAATCAATGGGAAAAACACCAGGAAAAACACCGGGAATCAATGGGAAAAACACCGGGAAAAATACTGGGAATCAACGGGAAAAACACCGGGAATCAATGGGAAAAACACCGGGAAAAACACCGGGAATCAATGGGAAAAACAATGGGAAAAACACCGGGAATCAATGGGAAAAACACCGGGAAAAACACCGGGAATCCTGGCTTCATCCGCAGCATCGCCCGCGCCTGCGGGCCCCGCCGGAGCGCGCCCCCGCGCTGGGGAAACACCGGGAAAAACACCGGGAATCAACAGGAAAAACACCGGGAATCAATGGGAAAAACACCAGGAATCAATGGGAAAAAGACTGGGAATTACACCAGGAATCAATGGGAAAAACACTGGGAATCAACAGGAAAAACAATGGGAAAAATACCGGCAATCAATGGGAAAAATACCGGCAATCAATGGGAAAAATACCGGCAATCAATGGGAAAAATACCGGGAATCAATGGGAAAAATACCGGGAAAAACACCGGGAATCAATGGGAAAAATACCGGGAAAAACACCGGGAATCAATGGGAAAAATACCGGGAATCAATGGGAAAAACAATGGGAAAAACACCAGGAATCAACGGGAAAAACAGTGGGAATCAACAGGAAAAACACCAGGAAATATACCGGGAATCAACGGGAAAAACACTGGGAATCAATGGGAAAAACATTGGGAAAACACCGGGAGAAACACTGGGAAAAACACTGGGAATCAGTGGGAAAAACACCGGGAAAACACCCAGAATCAACAGGAAAAATACCGGGAATCAATGGGAAAACAACGGGAAAAACACCAGGAATCAATGGGAAAAACACCAGGAAAACAGTGAGAAAAACACTGGGAATTGATGAGAAAAAAACCTGGAAAACACCGGGAAAAACACCGGGAAATGCTGGGAATTTCACGGGGAATGAGACTGGAAATGAGGCCGGGAATTACACCGGGAAAACCCCGGGAATTAATGGGAAAATCCTGGGAATTCCAGCAGGAATTAACGGGAAAACCCTGGGAATTAACGGGAAAACCCCAGGAATTAACGGGAAAATCCTGGGAATTAATGGGAAAATCCCGGGAATTAATGGGAAAATCCTGGGAATTCCAGCAGGAATTAACGGGAAAACACTGGGAATTAATGGGAAAACCCTGGGAATTAACGGGAAAATCCTGGGAATTAACGGGAAAATCCTGGGAATTCCAGCAGGAATTAACGGGAAAACTCTGGGAATTAACGGGAAAACCCCAGGAATTAACGGGAAAATCCCGGGAATTAACGGGAAAATCCTGGGAATTAACGGGAAAACCCTGGGAATTAATGGGAAAATCCCAGGAATTAATGGGAAAATCCTGGGAATTCCAGCAGGAATTAACGGGAAAACCCCGGGAATTAACGGGAAAATCCCGGGAATTAACGGGAAAATCCTGAGAATTAACGGGAAAACCCTGGGAATTAACGGGAAAATCCTGAGAATTAACGGGAAAACCCTGGGAATTAACGGGAATTCCAGCGGGAATTAACGGGAAAACCCCGGGAATTCCAGTGGGAATTAACGGGAAAACCCCGGGAATTAATGGGAATTCCAGCGGGAATTAATGGGAAAACCCCGGGAATTACCGGGAAAACCCTGGGAATTAATGGGAAAACCCCGGGAATTAACGGGAAAATCCTGGGAATTAACGGGAAAACCCCGGGAATTAATGGGAAAACCCTGGGAATTAATGGGAAAATCCTGGGAATTCTAGCGGGAATTAATGGGAAAATCCTGGGAATTAACGGGAAAATCCTGGGAATTAACAGGAAAACCCCGGGAATTAACGGGAAAACTCTGGGAATTAACGGGAAAATCCTGGGAATTAATGGGAAAACCCTGGGAATTAATGGGAAAACCCTGGGAATTAACGGGAAAACCCCGGGAATTAACGGGAAAATCCTGGGAATTAACGGGAAAAGCCCGGGAATTAATGGGAAAACCCTGGGAATTAACGGGAAAATCCTGGGAATTAACGGGAAAATCCTGGGAATTAACGGGAAAAGCCCGGGAATTAACGGGAAAAGCCCGGGAATTAACGGGAAAAGCCCGGGAATTAATGGGAAAACCCTGGGAATTCCAGCAGGAATTAACGGGAAAACCCCGGGAATTAACGGGAAAACCCCGGGAATTAACGGGAAAACTCTGGGAATTAATGGGAAAACCCTGGGAATTAACGGGAAAACCCCGGGAATTAATGGGAAAAACCTGGGAATTAATGGGAAAACCCTGGGAATTAATGGGAAAACTCTGGGAATTAATGGGAAAACCCTGGGAATTAACAGGAAAATCCCGGGAATTAATGGGAAAACCCCGGGAATTAACGGGAAAACTCTGGGAATTAACGGGAAAATCCCAGGAATTAACGGGAAAACCCCGGGAATTACCGGGAATTCCAGCGGGAATTAACAAATCACAATTGGAGGCTACAAAAAATCCCCATCCTCACCCCAAAACCGAGATTGGGACCCCAAAAATTGGGAATTTCCGGCCCAAAATTCAGAGCTGGAAGCACAAAACCGGGCTGGGAGCCCAAAAACCGGGAATTTCCAGCCGGAAAAACGGGATTCCAGGTGCTAAAATTGGGATTTTGGGGCTGAATCCCGGGATTTGGGGCCCCCGACTCCGCGGGTTTTTTTCCCCGGTGTGGTGGGATTTGGGGAATTTTTGGGAATTGTTGGGAATTTTTGGGAATGTTGGGAATTTTTGGGAATGTCGGGAATTTCCGGCTGACCTTGGTGGCCACGGCAAAGACGCAGCGGCGGCAGCTCCAGGGCCCGGCGTCGCCGGGGGGAGGGGGCACGTGGCAGCGCTGGTGATAGGCTGGGAAAACGGGAATTCCCGGAATTATTTGGGAATTTCGGAACCCCCCCCGAGCCTTTTCCCAGCCCTTCCCCGTTTTTCCCGACATTATTCCCATGGTTTTTCTCCCAAATCCATTTTTTTCCCATTTTCCCCCCCATTTTTTCCCCATTTTTCCCCCATTTTTTCCCTTTTTCCCCATTTTTTCCCATTTTCCCCTATTTTTCCCCCATTTCTCCCATTTCCCCCCCATTTTTCCTGCTCTTCCCCAATTTTTCCCCGTTTCCCCATTTTCCCCTCTTTCTACCCCATTTTTCCCATTTTCCCCCATTTTTCCCAATTTTTTTTCCCTTTCTTCCCATTTTCCCCCCGTTTTTTCCCATTTTTCCCCATTTTATCCTCGTTTTCCCCTCATTTTCCCCCCATTTTTTCCCATTTTTCCCGTTTTCCCCCCATTTTTTGGCGTTTTTCCCATTTTTCCCCTCATTTTCCCCCATTTTTTCCCATTTTTCCCATTTTCCCCATTTTTCCACACATTTTTCTCCCGTTTTTCCCCCACATTTTCCTTGTTTTTTACCCTTTTTCCCCCATTTTTCCCATTATTCCCATTTTCCCCCCATTTTTCTCCCATTTTTCCCCATTTCCCCCCCATTTTTCCCCCATTTTTCCCCATTTTCCCCCATTTTTTCCCATTTTTCCCATTTTTCCCGTTTCCCCCCGTTTCCCCCCCATTTTTCCCTGTTTTTCCCCCCGTTTTTCCTGGTTTTTCCCCTTTTTTCCCATTTTTTTCCTATTTTTCCCCATTTCCCCCCATTTTCCCCCATTTTTCCCCATTTATTCCCATTTTTCCCGTTTTTCCCATTTTTCCCGTTTCCCCCCCTTTCCCCCCATTTTTCCCCGTTTTTCCCCGTTTATCCCGTTTTTCCCCCATTTTCCCCTTTTTTTCCCGTTTTTTTCCCATTTTGTTCCCGTTTATCCCTTTTCCCCCCATTTCCCCATTTTTTCCCATTTTCCCCCCATTTTTCCCCCCATTTCCCCCATTTTTTCCCGTTTTCTCCCGTTTTTCCCGTTTTTCCCGTTTTCTCCCGTTTTTTCCCGTTTTTCCCGTTTTTTCCCGTTTTCCCCCCGCTTTATTCCCGTTTTTTCCCGTTTTTTCCCGTTTTTTCCCTTTTTCTCTCCCTGACCGTGGCCGCACTTCCGGCATCGAAGGAGGGAATTTCCGGCATTTCGGGAATTTCCCGTTTTTTCCCGTTTTTTCCCTTTTTTCCCTGTTTTTTCCCGTTTTTTTCCCGTTTTTTTCCCATTTTTCCCCTTTTTTTCCCGTTTTTCCCCGTTTTTCCCGGTTTTTCCCGTTTTCCTCCCGCTTTATTCTCGTTTTCTCCCGTTTTCTCCCCTTTTTTCCCGTTTTTTCCCCGTTTATTCCCGTTTTTTCCCCATTTTCTCTCCCTGACCGTGGCCGCACTTCCGGCATCGAATGAGGGAATTTCCGGCGTTTCGGGAATTTCCCGTTTTTCCCCGTTTTTCCCCGTTTTTTCCCGTTTTTCCCCGTTTTTCCCCGTTTTTTCCCGTTTTTCCCCGTTTTTTCCCGTTTTCTCCCGTTTTTCCCCGTTTTCTCCCGTTTTTCCCCGTTTTCTCCCGTTTTCTCCCGTTTATTCCCGTTTATTCCCGTTTATTCCCGTTTATTCCCGTTTATTCCCGTTTTCTCCCGGTTTTTTTTCCCATTTTTCCCCGTTTTTTCCCATTTTTCCCCGTTTTTCCCCGTTTTTTCCCGTTTTTTCCCGTTTTTTCCCGTTTTCTCCCGTTTTTTCCCATTTTCTCCCGTTTTCTCCCGTTTATTCCCATTTATTCCCGTTTATTCCCGTTTTCTCCCATTTTTTCCCATTTTTTTTTCCCGTTTTTTCCCGTTTTTTCCCATTTTTCCCCGTTTTTCCCAGTTTTCTCCCGTTTTTTCCCGTTTTTTCCCGTTTTCTCCCGTTTATTCCCGTTTTTTCCCGTTTTTTCCCGTTTTTTCCCGACCGTGGCCGCACTTCCGGCATCGAACGAGGGAATTTCCGGTGTTTTGGGAATTTCCCGTTTTTTCCCCGTTTTTCCCCGTTTTTCCCCATTTTTCCACGTTTTTCCCCGTTTTTTCCCGTTTTCTCCCGTTTTTTCCCGTTTTTTCCCATTTTCTCCCGTTTTCTCCTGTTTATTCCCGTTTATTCCCGTTTATTCCCGTTTTCTCCCGTTTTTTCCCGTTTTTTTCCCCGTTTTTCCCCGTTTTTCCCATTTTTCCCCGTTTTTCCCCGTTTTCTCCCGTTTTTTCCCGTTTTCTCCCGTTTTTTCCCGTTTTTTCCCGTTTTTTCCCGTTTTCTCCCGTTTTTCCCCGTTTTTTCCCGTTTTCTCCCGTTTTCTCCCGTTTTTCCCAGTTTTTTCCCGTTTTCTCCCGTTTTTTCCCGTTTTTTCCCGTTTTTTCCCGACCGTGGCCGCACTTCCGGCATCGAACGAGGGAATTTCCGGCGTTTCGGGAATTTCCCGTTTTTCCCCGTTTTTTCCTGTTTTATTCCCGTTTTTTCCTGTTGTTTCCCGTTTTCCCCCGTTTTCCCCCGTTTTCTCCCGTTTTTTCCCGTTTTCTCCCGTTTTTTCCCGTTTTTTCCCATTTTCTCCCGTTTTCTCCCGTTTATTCCCGTTTATTCCCGTTTTCTCCCGTTTTTTCCCGTTTTTTTCCCCGTTTTTCCCCGTTTTTCCCATTTTTCCCCGTTTTTCCCCGTTTTCTCCCGTTTTTTCCCGTTTTTTCCCGTTTTCTCCCGTTTTTTCCCGTTTTTTCCCGTTTTTTCCCGTTTTTTCCCGTTTTTTCCCGTTTTTTCCCGTTTTCTCCCGTTTTTTCCCGTTTTTTCCCCTTTTCTCCCGTTTTTTCCCGTTTTTTCCCGTTTTTTCCCGACCGTGGCCGCACTTCCGGCATCGAACGAGGGAATTTCCGGCGTTTCGGGAATTTCCGGCGCAGACGCAGCACGAGGGCTCCTCCCCGGGCACGGCGGCTGCGGGGCGTTAATTAGCGCTAATTAACCCCTAATTAACCCCTAATCCACCGATAATTAACCGCTAACCGACCGCTAATCAACTGCTAACTAATGGCTAATTAACGGCTAATCGACCGGTAATTTACTGATAATCAACCGCTAATTAACAACTAGCCAACCGCTAATTAACCGATAATCACCCGCTAATCACCCGCTAATTAATCGCTAACCGACAGCTAATTAACCGCTAGCCGACCGCTAATTAACCGATAATCGACCGATAATCAGCCGCTAATTAACACCTAATTAATTGCTAATTAAGGGCTAATTAACCGCTAATTAACTCCTAATCAACCCCTGATTAACCGCTAATTAACCGATAATCAACCAATATCAACCGCTAATCAACTGCTAATTAACCGATAATCAACCGATAATTAACTGCTAATTAACAGCTAATTAACTGCTATAATCCACCGCTAATTGACTGCTAATTATCCGCTAATCGACCACCAATTAACTGGTAATTGACTGCTAATTGACCGGTAATTAACCGCTAATCGACCACTCATTAACTGCTAGTTAGCCGCTAATCAACCGCAAATTAACCGGTAATTAACTGCTGATTAACCCCTAATCAACCCCTCATTAATTGATAATCAGACGCTAATCCACCGCTAATCAACCGCTAATTAACGGCTAATTAATGGCTAATTAACCACTAATCCACCGCTAATCAACCGCTAATTAACGGCTAAAGAACGGCTAATTAACCGCTAATCAATCGTTAATCGACAGCTAATTAACCGCTAATCAACCGCTATTTAACCGATAATTAACAGCTAATTCACCGCTAATTAACATCTAATTAACCGCTGATTAACCGCTAATTAAACGCTAATTGAGCGCTAATTAAGGGCTCATTGAGGGTTAATTAAGGGCTAATGAAGGGCCAATTAAGGGCTAATCAAGGGCTAATTACGGGCTGATTAAGGGCTAATTAATGGCTGATTGAGGGCTAATTAAGGGCTAATTAAGGGTTAATTAAGGGCTGATTGAGGGCTAATTAAGGGCGAATTAACGGCTGATTAAGGGCTAATTAAGGGCTGATTAAGGGCTAATTAAGGGCTAATTTAGGGTTAATTAAGGGCTGATTGAGGGCTAATTGAGGGCTAATTAAGGGCTAATTAAGGGCTAATTTAGGGCTGATTAAGGGCTGATTAAGGGCTGATTGAGGGCTAATTAAGGGCTAATTTAGGGCTGATTAAGGGCTGATTAAGGGCTAATTAAGGGCTAATTAAGGGGTGATTAAGGGCTGATTAAAGGCTGATTTGGGGCTGATTAAGGGCTAATTATGGGCTAATGAAGGGCTAATTAAGGGCTGATGAAGGGCTGATTAAGGGTCGATTTAGGGCTGATTAAGGGCTAATTAAGGGCTGATGAAGGGCTAATTAGGGCGGTGTTAATTGGGGCTGGGGCTCACCGGGGCTGATGTCCTTCCAGAGCACGAAGAACTGGGAATTGTCCTCGAACTGGATCAGGCAGCCCCGGCGGGGAGCGTCCACCTGCGGGAATCCGGGAATTCCGGGAATTCCGGGAATTCCGGGAATTCCGGGAATGCCGGGGGGAAATCCGGGAATGCCGGGAAATCCGGGAATGCCAGGAAATCCGGGAATGACGGGAAATTCGGAAATTCCGGGAAATCCGGGAATGCCGGGAAATTCGGGAATGAC